CGTATCTGCATCCTTGAAAAAACACATATCCTTTCTGAGATTCGAACCCGTGTCACTCAGTGCTGCAGTCACAGTCTAAGGCTTCCTACCGATTGCCTCCAACCATCTAATACCAACATTTCACGGTGCACCGTAATGACGAGCCACCTAGCATGGTGGCCATATTGCAAGCTTGACTGATAGAATTCAGTCTGCACCGAAGACAGGACTAGACACATTACACTAGTTACTGACTAGTGTGCAATTGAAAAAAAACTGGTATATCGAAATACATGGAAAAGAGCAAAATTATATTTATAAATAAAATAACAAAGTGTTTAAATAATTATTCCCACTTAGTACATGTATGATTTAATTTGCTAACAGATTTCTTAGTTATCACAGTTATCACTGATGAACATATTTGACTGGTAGGCTGATATGCTTGTTATCTGTTGTGATTAACACTCCCAACCGAAGTGATTATCACACCGACGTTTTGTTGCAGGTGTGTGTTCAAATAACCTGCCTCGTCTAGCAAACGCAAGACTCATATATCTCGGTGGATGTATTCCACTGAGATTTTCAGACGTATTGTTCGAAATTGACCATCTCGGTCGTGGTACACCTGAATAACTAAAGCCTGTCGATGGTAGACTTCTAAGTGCATCAGTAGGATTAAGGTTTTTCATGTTCTAGTACCAACACCGTCACATGAAAAAACAATATTTAACCTGGTCTGCGCCTGACTATAATCTTTTTCGACAGATTTTCGGTGGGTTTATTTGCAGCTATCAAGCCGACTATATGAAACATCGAAGCTACGTATTACAGAAGAGTTCTTCTAGCTTGGTATTAAAATATCATCTTCGAAAGCAAACGCTGTCTCTTTAGGTGGAAGAATATTGATGTGATTTGAGTAGCCTGTATACTATTGAACACTGAGACAAAATCATTTATAAAATTTAAATCAAACAGTATTTCTTGAAATCTCTGATGTATACCATCGCCATACACATCCTTAACAGCTATTTACGGAATATCACCGATGGTAAAGTTTAATAGATTGTTTGACCCTGTCTAAATCCAACGCTGGCTGAAAACAGCAGTGATAGGTGGTTATATCTCCTCACTTTTCCTAAGGTGATTCTGTAAACCACTTTCCAAATGCTGATTAATATCTCAAGGACAACCTTCTCCAAGGTACAGTCCCATTCAATGATCAACATATGGAATTTACAGCTAAGGTAATAGAATACTATGTGTGTTCTTTAAGTAAACCCTTTATAACCATATTCAAACCTATAAAAAAAGATCAGAGCATCTATAATCTGAATTAAATTCAGCCTACTTTTTGAAAATCACGTTTTCACTCATCCATACCTTCTCAGACAATATATGCAGAGGTATTAGAAGGTTACTATTATTCATTAACAACCTACGTTAATTGATTCTGAGCAGTTAAACTTTGGTTCGTTTGTTGACAAAAGGATATTTTGGTTGGAGGATTACATCATCAACTGACATCAGTTGGAGAATCACTGGAGAATCTAGGAGTACTGGACAGCCATCCTCCTCCGTCCTAGTTTTGGAATCTTCGTAAGTACGCAAACATACAACAACGGTGTTCAAACCCAGGACTTTCTGCTTACAAGGCGAGCTGACTCGTAGACCATTTGTTCACTGGGTCCCTATCCTATGGCCAGTCGATGAATTCTAACTTCTGCCAACCCATGACATAGCGCGAACGCTTCGCACTGTCTTCTTCGATGAGTAACTGTTCTTACCTTCAACCTGCTGTACACCACTGGTCACAGCTTCCCCCTAGAACTCCAGGTAACTGTCTGTATAGGGCCAGTTTGTAGTGAGCATCAGATCAATTTTCAAGTATTAGAATTCATGGTTGATTGAATCGGACCTCAGTTCAGCTGAACTGTCTACGAGATCGTCTTGTATCCAGAAGGTCCTGCGTTCGTTACTTGGCAGCGGGTGCATGCTGATGAGGAGTCTCGAAATGGGATGAAACAGCTAACCAGTACTTGCAGATTTTCCAGGGGCTCTCTAACTGATGTCAGCTCATGATGAAGTCCTCCAACCAATCAAAGAAAATCCCTATAAAAAACCAATACTTGAAAGAAGGATATTGTGAAATTATCACTTTGGTATTTTGAACATGTACACAACATCCATGAACAGTTTTCACTTCTATGAATGATATGATATAGGTGTCATAATGTATAGATGAAAAATACAGGAAGGCTGGAAGGATCTCTGGGCCTGAATAGCTGTTTTTGCTGATTCATACATTACCTACGCTAAATTTTACTGCATAATCTCATTATCGTGATTGGTTCATACTTTGTGCTATCTGGATTATTGTTTTCAAATAGATCATGTTCCACCTACGCTTTCAAAATAAGTATACATTTATCTGCCTATATATATATATATATATATATATATATATATATATATATATATATATATATATATATATATATATATATATATAACTACACGATACCTCATGTAAACTTAGTTTCTTGACACAGGTTGGTCTGTTGCCTTAATTATTCTATACAAGATATGTTGATAGTTTCAGAGAATCACAGATATGTTGACATTGAGCTCATTTTTTTGTAATTTCATCTTTTAATTTCAATCATGTAATCTTTATGCTTGAGCAACAAGTTTGAAGTTTTATTGTTATCAGGTTAATTAACTTAATTTTGTGCAATGACTACTAGTTGAAGTATGTCTTATACTTGTATCTTCTATTGATATATATTAATGTAAAAAATAACTGTGGATCCCTGACTCATAGCCTCAGCCAGTTAATCCGAGGTGACTAGGTACTAGTATTAGACCTCACATTCAATATCCTGGTGGATAACTGCTACCTTCACTCATTGGTCGTGCTTCCATATCTCAGTGATCCAATAGGCTACACTGGCTGGGACTTAGATTGATGGATGTTCTGCCATACCAGGAAGGTTGTGTGGATAGCGGTTAGATTAAAAGCAGTTACCATGGGCTAAATGGATTCCAGAATCCATACAGATTGAAAGGTGTATAAACCTGTATTGGTCACCGCCAGTCATGGAAACTTAACTCCTGACGCTACTCTGCGACGTTGTGGATAAGAATTCAAGTAAAAATCCCCATGGGTGGTCCCTTATGACAATCGCCAGCCATAGCAGTATCCCAGCCCTCACACTAACTCTAACAGTCACATCCAAGATATCTGGCAAATAGCCTAGAACACGTTTCAGATAGTTGGATTTTGAATGACTAATAAACACAAAACTAGGCTTGCTTAGCAAAAGACGTGGTATATATGTGGTCGCTTAATCAATATGTTTCGTAAACTCAAGGTTATTTGTAAGACGCCTTAAAGTTATCGTTTTAATTGGTCAACATAAAAGGATAGCGTTTAAGCAGTTCAATGAGAAATATTCATTTCTGTATAGTATGTTTAATTATTTCAAAAACACATTACTATAACGCTGATTATAATAGTCCCCTTGTGGTGTAACAGCGGTAGAATGCTCGCCAACCACGTATGTGGTTTGGTGTTCTATCCCCGGCCGACGCATTTCATCACCTGGCTAAGCTAGTAATAAGATTGGTAAAGAGGGAAGATTGGGCATGAGGCCAGCAACCCCATCCTGTAAAAATAAACACCACTGTTACCAAAACTTCAGGCCCCTAGATTGATGCCCTATTTTCCACTGGGAACGTAAAGGGTGATGAAATGAATCAAACATTCTAATTGGAATAGTTGAAAACATTTTTTGCTAAGAATAATAGTGAGGGTTCAAATTGTCTGTTGTTTTCATCCGAGATTTGACCTTAGACATTACTCTGTCCATTCGTCTCACCGCTATTTGTGTTCGAAATTTGATTTTGTTAGTTTCATAATCTGCCAGATTACTTAAGTAATGCAGAAGGCGTTTCAAGTTTGTCACATTTACTCTGTGTCAGCGTCTAGTTGAATAAATACTGAGTGAGTGGTGATAAAATTGGCATCTGATGATAGTTCTGATGCTTACTGACTATAAATATACAAGTATCGGATATCCAGGGAATATGAATTATTACAAAAGATTAATTATGAACGACGTAAAGACGAAATCACTGAAGAGGACTTCAATTACTGCAAATGACTGATTGGCATAAATAGTTCGCGATCACCAGCTAGTAGCTCTCTCTGAAAAGATAAAAGTAACAGAAAAACCGCTTGCTTGAAGTCTACCGTATTACGGAGGAGGCAGTTTCATCAAACTGACTCCCGGCAACTTACCTCCTCGAACTGATGACATGTAGATAGTAGCTAGTTGTTTTCAAAGTACACCAATGGCGATGAAATTTCGCTGGGGGTTTTTACTGGAAACTCAAAATATGCATCAGTTTATTTATAAAACATCCAATATCAACTTAAAATACACCTCGATTGCAAGTCATACACGTATACATATCATAAACTTGACTGATACAATTCACTTAACGCTAAGAAACACGCACATAACATTGTATACTCTACGGTTTATCCGTCGCAATCATACAGAAGATCAGCTGTGATCCTCAGTAGCTCAGTGGTAGCATTTCTTACTACATCAGTGGGTGACGTATTTCTGAGTCTTCGAGGAAACATTGGTTCCTTCGTGGTTGCAGATGCACCTTTCCGAAGAATGCCAGTAAACTTGAAACTTATATCCATGAATTCTTCCTAACTGTCTCCAACCATCTAGCATGAACTTTGCATAGATTGTGGATATTTAAGTATCATTTATTAAATTTCAGTAGTGATCATGCCTTCGAAATGACTTTGAAACGCCCGTAGTTAAAATACCTAATGTCGAGTAATTCCCATCTCTCTAATGAGTTACAAATCCCCAAAAGAACAAGAAATTATAAATAATTCAATCACCCAAAACTTAGATATTCATCACTATCTTAATGCTGGGTCAACTGTTATTAAAAGCTTCCTAATATGTTTCTTTTCTTTTGATTCTTTTAGAATGTGGCCTCAAATGTACTCTCGACAAGCACACCTATCATGGTTACCTGCTTTTGCTAATCAATCACCTCCTCCACATGCTGTTGAAGCTACACCTGGTATCTATGTAATTCGTGGTAGAACTGGTGATGATGTTATCCCTGGAAAATGGCCAGTAGATTTAGGCAAAGGTTATATATCATTTGGTGGGAAGGAAGTTGAATTACAAAATTTTGAAGTATTGTGTAATACAAATTTAAGAACCAGTCAAAATTTGTAAGTTATTCAACGTCTTTATGTTGTATTTCCACAAGATATATGCACATGTTTCATAAATTATCTCTCTTTTTGTAATTTAGTATGGTTAGGGCAGACAGGAGAAGACTTAACTGGGTTTTTTTGATTGGACACTAGTCAGTAACTACTGTAATGTGTCTAGTCCTATCTCTGGTGTAAACTGAATTCTATCCGTCAACTTTACAATGTGGTCAGCATGCTAGATGGCTCGCCACCATGCTGCATTGTGAAATGAACTGTTGGTATTAGACGTTTGAAGGTAATCGGCAGGAAGCCTTGGACGTAGGTATCGTTTGAATTTCGCGGGTTTGAATCTTAGAAGGGACATCAGCTCCTTCAAAAATATATATGTACTCTGCTGATGAAGGCCAACTAGAACGAAAGCTAGGTTAAAGGATTCCTGCCGATCGCCTCCAACCATTTGATACCAGCAATCCGAAGGCTTAACTAGCTGGCTTGTGTGGTGATAAAACAAACGGTGGCATATTGTTCATTCAAATGACAGTTGGGTATTACATCAGATGATTGTAGTTCGGTGATGACTCAAAGATCATTTTCCTCTTGTAGCTCAGCTGGATACAGCTTAGAACTAGTAATTCGGAGACTTCTGATACGAATTCTGATTTCCATTTCACCATCAATCATTACCTATAATTCCTTAATAACAGTCTGCTAACTGAAAGCTATTTCAGATATTCATACTAACCACTACGTTTCTGATGAGTAAGTTATCACTCGAAGTTTTATCTTATAAGTGATGATTTTTCTTCAACTACAAGGATATTATGAGCAGTTTTTAAATAGGCAGAAAAAGAATCTCTACAATGCTTCTGACTTAAGTAAAGATAGGTGTTTCTTATGTGCGAACTATATTTGCAATGTATTTGTATTACAGATCATTATTAGTTCAAGTTGAGTTTACCCTAAACTCAGAGTTCATACGACATAATAGTAAGAAACAGTCTTTAAAGATTAACTGAACTCTTTGATTATCCCATCACTGTCCAGATAAAAACTCGATTATAAGTTTTCAGACCGTAGGTGTTAAGAACTTCCTGGAATAATTTGAGCGCCCAGTCAGATTTACTCATTATAAATTATTTAAATTAATCCCAGTGTGTTAAGAAAATCAAAACATGATTTTTTCTGAACGTTTCGCTGTGTAAGCCACAGCTTTTTCGTCAGATTTATCCGGATTTTTATTAATCATCAAAATAGATAGTCAAAAAATTAAAATATCTTGGCTATCGATGATAGCCATTCCATATCGAAAAGACACTGCTGAATAATTTCAAAGACTATTTGCTTTATATAATATTAAAGTCTATGTCAAACCGTCTAATACTCTGGAGAAAGCGTTGATGCGTGTCAAGGATATGGTTCCCAAAATGTTACAAAATAATTGTGTCTACAGGATAAAGTGTTCAGAATGTGATGCATGCTATATAGGGGAGAGGAGAGTAGACAGGTGAATGTCAGAGTGAACGAACATAGACTATGCCCGAAACGTCCACCTAGAAATGAAGTAGAATTAAAAAGTGTGGTCGGACTCTGGATTAAAAAAAAAACATATGCACCCGGGAATCTGCTGGAGAAGAGCCACAAAGTCTCTGATGAATGATAATGTGAAATAGTTTCTCAGGAAGATTCACAGACAAAAGTCCGAAGCCAAGAAAAGCTGTTGAACAGGTCCAGATTGCTTTAAAAAAAATCCTGTCACTGAATCTTAAAATTTAAAAATAATACTTATAAAAGAATTCCGTTAAAACAACTTTTAAAACCTCTCATTCAAGGATACTTCTGTGCTAACCTATGAATAGCATTTTCCTTCTCAAAACTGTTCAGGAAGGACGTGAAAGACAAGCTGGAGTACTGAGACACATTGACTAGCATTAATAAGCTCACTTGCTCTTGTGAAACTCAGTACATTGGCCGTGTCATGCATCCACTCGTAAAACGCGATCAGGAACACTATCCAACTTAGTTAGCAAAGGAGAACTTAGATGTATTGATAATTTGGTAAAAGAAAATCTCGTGATCTCAGAACACTCAGCTCCATCTGAAAAGTCCTGTAAAGTATCCCATAAAACCTATTAAAGGGAATGGGATAAAGACATCTGGGGATCGTGGAGGCAGTAGGGGTCCGAATAGTCAAGGCAATGCTATGCATTCCAAAAGAACTACGTCCAGCCTTTATCTGTATCGTGGCAATCATTAGAATAGTCAGTTTTCTCAATAATTATTATCCTACTATGTTTTTTATTTGAACTTCCTGTTTATCCTGTTATTGTTATTACGTCTTTAATGCCTATTTGTAATATTGCTAATCGTTATAATCTGATTCTCAAATGGAAATGGGTCTGGGACTTTCTCACCACTTCACTATATGCATACACGAATGTATAGTCGGATTGATAATTCCGTCGAAAAGAAAATTTTCGTCCTCCTGTGATCTAATGTGCATTTATTTATATTTTTTTATATTTTTGATTACAGCTTGATCCCACACCGTATTTTTGGTGCAAGTATGGAATTTTCAGCATGTGATATCGGTAGCCCAAATTTTGCAGGCCAACCATAGATATCAGGTGTGCGTCGGCAGGGGATCGAACCTCGGACCATGTGCATGGTTGGCGAGAGTCCTATCCACTGTGCCACCGACGCATATTCCGCTCTTTAAAACGGTGCACGCAATAAAGAAATAAACTGATATAGAGTGACAGTATCAAACATAGGCATACATTTAAGGAATAACAAAATAATTAGACGATCACAATATATATATATATATATGGTGACGTCTCAGGCTGCAGTATTAGGTGATAAGTGTTCCGATATCCCAAACAGCATCAATGCCAATAAGCACTAGACCTGGGTGTAAAGTGTCCTGCAGATCACCTCCAAACCGCCAACAAGAGTTCCATGTTTCTTTCGAGTCATTTTTTAAATGAAATATCAGGAGTTATTTTGAAATTTTGACAGAGTTTGAATGTCTTTTGATGTAGTTTTAATGGTGTTTACATATACATGTATTGTTGAATGATTTCAGATCGTTTAACTGATATGATAAATATTAAATGTGTCAGTAAATTAAGCAAAATTTAGGAGCACTTTGGTGTGGAATTGAACCTGGGCCACGTATGTTGCTGGTGGGTGCTGACATACTTAAATTAGAAAGTGAAATCTATAAGAGTCGGTATTCAATGACAGCAGAAATTATATGCACAGAATTTTGCTAAGTAAAGTTTTTCCTAGGTGGGATTGGATAACTAGCAAAACAGAAAATAAGTAAACCAATTTAGGGATAAATGAGTCAGAGGCTCTTACTAAAAAAATGGTCTCCAGATGTGATTAAATGAAGTAATGTTATAGTGATAGTCACTCGTCATACCAGGAAATGGATATTAGCTGACTTGAAGTAAATATGTAGTTGAAAGGGTTCGAATTTTTATAACCAATTCTTGGAAAGTTGATACTTAATGACACTATCTCCCGCTAAAGTTAAAACAACATTTCAATCCACTAAAGTTGGATGTTGCCGAAATTATCTGTCATGAAAAATGATGACCATGAACTACTCAATACTAAATGAATTTCGTGAGTATGAGTAAGATTCCAATATTCTGTCTTCCAAATAACTCAAGAGTGTCAAACTGAGACGGAACAATTGTGTTTACCCATTCTTTGAAATCTCAGTGCAACTTGGAACTTTGAGCTTTAAAGTTTTGATAGTGGTGGTTATGTTTTACAAGGTGAGGTAGTTATTTTTGCACGCTCAAACTTCCTTCTTTCCCTGGATTACTTATATTGTTATTATCAATCCCTTCGGTTCCCAACTTCAACGGTGAATCTCCATTTCACTTTGAAATCTGAAATCTTTTTCACTTGGCTCCACAGTTACTCATAAGCTTTCATTCCCGCCCTACATGATCTCCTCTCTGTCACCTTCTGACGCCTAACTCCTTGTTTCTTAATCAGGTCCTACTCAAGAGCCTGTAAGGATATCACTCCAGGCTTACTATAGGGGTCGAATCCGGACCGCCCACGTGACTGGCATGCATTCTACCACTGAATCAAAAATGTTCGAAGGTATTCGGCAGGAATCTCCGTTAAAACTTAGCTTTCCAGATTATTAGCACTCACGGGGAAGCTTTGTCTGCAACTTTGAAGGAACTGATGTCTCATATGGGACGTGAACTCATATCACCTTGAGTTGTAGTCACCGATGTTACCACTAAGCTTTTTACACCTCAATAACATATTAGCTTCTATCTCATTTCTCTTCTATAATAATTAAAAACGGAGGTCATCGAAATCAAATAGAGAAAACTGTTTAATTAAACAATCACACTTAAAATGAATTACTCAGCTTTATATATAAGAAATCTAAAATTGTTTGTAGAGTAAATATAAAGAGTCAATTTAACATACTATCAATGTTCAATGTTTAAATTGTTAAAGTTCAAGTCTGTAAGAGTGTGAATTGTTTATTTGCTTGTTCTTGCTTGTTTGTTTGCTTAACGTTGTTTTTTATTTTAAAATGAAGTATTCTATGTACATCAGCTTATTATTGAGTAACCAAATTTTAATCTTTATTCTCTCTACAAGTGATCTTTGATACGACTTGTTTTAATTACACCTACATGTACACGAAGTTTTCTTATTGTTTGTGTATACTAACTATCCATTCATATGTGAACTCTCACGTAGATATTAACATTTAATTAATGCTTTATACAAAATAGTGATACATAAGTGTATTTATAGGTCAGAAAAACTGACCTATATTGATCACAGTCATTAAAATCAGTGGAATTTTAGAGAAAGTAGACATTTTCCATTAGAGTTCCTAATAATAAATAATAATTTTTCCTTCACGTTCCCAGTGGAACATAGAGCTCCAAGCTAGTGGCTTGAAGTTTCTGTAGCAGTGTTTAGTTTTTACAGGATGGGGTTGCTAGCCTCATGCCCAACCTTTC